GTAGCATGGTAGAGCACTTGCTTACCATACTTGAGGCCCTGGGTTCAATCCCCAGCACACATACTCACAAAACTCCAAAATTCGGAAGGATAAGGTAATTTCTACCAAGTGGTATAGTAGCAGGAGGAAATCTGAACTTGAGTCTATCATTTTCCCACAGTCACATGATCTGGTTTTGAAGATCTCAGGTTAGCTTTTGCTTGGAGGAGGCTCAACTCAAGGCATTTGGATGTGAACTGCCTGGACCTGTGAACTGAAGCTTTGCAAATACAATAAATCCTTGACTTACATTCAAGTTGCAAACTTTCACCCGGCTACTGTATAAGATTCACTTTTCAGATTATGAACGAATCCAATTTATGAATGTTTTCTCAGAAAGGAAGTCATTTGTAAGTCAGGGACTTACTGTAACAGCTTTGTGTTATATAGGTAGTACGGTCCACAGAAGATCCTGATTGTTTAATCCTCTCTAGACTCTTTTTCCAGAGCTTTAAACTGCTGCTGGTTAACTTAGTAGTATGAGACTATTTCTGAACTGAATAGCTAATAAGATACAGTGGACCCTTGACTTACAAGATCAATCAGTCCCGAAGGGTGGTTGTGAGTCAAGCTGATTGTAAGTCAATACAGCTGAGATCTGGATGTTTACCTGGGTATCACACTATAGATAACAAGAGGCAGACGAATCTTCCATTAACCTAATTAATCCAAGTTGTTTGTATGTCAGGCCGGTCATAACTTGAAGGTCCACTGTAAATTTAAAGCTCGTTTTCTTTGTGAGATCATGGAGATGTTAAAGTCTTAACACAGATTAAGTTCATTATTAAGCTGATTCTACTGCTGCCATTTGTTTGGCCAAAAGCAGTTGAGGTCATAGATATTGGCAAGTAAAGGAAAATGAAAGAGTCCAAATCCTAACCTCTGAGACTGTTTCCCTAATTGGCCTCTCACAAATGTCCTCAGATGACAGATGATCCTGAAAGACATTAGGAATCACAAATTTATTCCAAATCCACCCTGTAGAAACTGTCTCCACAGAAAATTATCAGGACCTCACCTGGTCAGTGATGAAAGTGCAGCATCTCATAGAGATGAACAGAATCTAGGCCATTGTCCAGTAATTCCTGGCTCAATTAAAACATGATTTCCCTAAATTTTATGAGAATACTTCCTTGATTGGTGGTGAGAAGCATATGGAAGGGTTGAGTTTCAGCCAAATAACATTTCAGAAATGCATCTAAAAATCTTTCATTGACAGTCTCACACTGTCAGCCTAAGGGCTGACTGGTCCAGAGATATTTTTGGCACAGTGTTAGTTCACAATATTTGAACTATTCTTCAATCAATTGCAAAAATCTAGATTTTTGCCTTGAAATATAATGCAGAGAACTTCATGGTCTAGATCACTACTGTATTTCCAGGGACTAGAATAGTGCCTGTTGACTGAGTTGGGATTTTGTTTGTTTTGTCTTGCTTTATAATTTTAAGGTGAGATCTTGCTAAGCAACTGCTCTGTACTAAGCTACACCCCTAGCCTAGTAACTTATTACTTTTGGGGGGCGGGTACTAGACATTGATTGAATTTAGGATTTTCCTCCACTGACCTATATCCCCAATCTTTTTATTTTTTTATTTTAAGACAGGGTCACACTAAGTGGCCCAGGTGGACCTCAAATTTGCGGTCTTTCTACCTCAGCTTCGCAGAGTGGTGGGACTGTATATGTGCACGATCGCACCTGGTTAAGTCATTTCTCTTTATTGTCGAATACGGTACCATTATAGGAATATGCCATATTTTATTTACCCATTCCTCAATTTGGGCTGTTTGTGCTTGACTATTACAAATAGTGCTGCTGTGAACATTCATGTTAGATTTCTGGCATTATCTAAGAAGAAAATTATCCATTGCCTAGTTTTGTGCTAAAACCAATAATTTAAGTGTGTACTTTAAAATCTGCCATAATTTTTTAAATTTCTCTTTTGGCACTTCATTTTTAAAAATATAGCTGGAGTCTCAGGAAAATCAGAATGACCAGTTTGCACTTTAATCTCTGAAAGGCTTTGTAACTGTCTTCAACAAAACAAGTCCATTTTATCCGACTAAGAAACAAACTCCTCAAAGTCAGAAAACTGTCTCATACTTCCTGGTATACCCATGATTGCTACTAGTACCGGGTCTTGGTACATGCAAGATGACAATATAGATCAAGAAATGATGAGGCAGGGTGGGAGAATCAAGTAATAACCAGATGAAGGTTGTGGGAGGGAGGGAGTAAATTCTAACACAAATGATTTTCTTGTGAACTTCTGCCCACAATTTACTCCTTTTTTTTTTTTTAACTTTAAACTTACGGTGTAATCCAGACTGGTCTCAGATTCCCAAGTGCTGGGATCACAGGTGTGGGCCATCCTGCCTAGCCTCACAATTTACTTTTATTCTGTGATTATCCCTTGATCTTGTCTATTGACATGTTCACTTAGAGATGCTAACCAGATAGATTGTTTAAACTGATAGAAACGTGAAGTTTGGTTGAAGAACAATTTCTCTAGATTCTAAGAAAAAGTCAGCATTGTGTTTTCCTGACATTGTGGGCCAAACTGAAGCTTCCTTTTATAGCAGGATAGGGGTCAGTCATTTGCCTCATTAACCAGTAGAGTTAATGAAAGAAAAAAGAGAGTACAGACACTCTAAGAGAATCAGCCACAAAGGATAGGCAAGGCCCTTTAGAAAGGATATGTGGGAAGGTGGGATGGGTAGGGGAAGAGTAAAAAGGGAAAAGAAAAAAAGGTGAGAGAATGAAAAGATGAAAATAAAGTGTTTGTAGATGGGGAGGGGAGGAGGGGGTGAAGGGAGGGCAGAGGTAAGGGGAAAAAATGAGAATCAAGACTTGTCATGTAGAGGTACAAGATCCCAACAATGAATGTAACTGTACTGTATCCCTAAAATGTACCAATAAACTCAATTAAAGCTGGGAAAAAAAAAAGAAAAAAAAGAAAGGATTTGTGGTATATTTTGTCATCATAACATTTTGTTAACATACATAGATTAGCAAAACCACGAGAGCAGGGAGACTGAATGAAGGCTCATCTATTGTGAAAAAAGAAGTGAACTGCTTTGAAAAATGGAGCTCTCCTGGATCTCTGCCAAGCTCATCCCTCCCTCCAGCTCTTTCATTCGTCTTTTCCATCACCTAGAAAGTCCTCTCTCCTTCCCTCTGCCTATCCCAGGTCCAACGAAAGTTCCCTCATCTAGGACTCCAGTGCCCTCCTCTGGTACTCCTTCAGCACATCCATCGTGTGCCACACAATTCCCACTAGATTAAGCATATTGTCTTGAAAGGTTCTTGTATGTGTGTCTTACAAAATCCCTTGTAAACTCCTCAAGCACAAGGGCCATTTCTTCTGCTGCTGCTATGTCTCCCACAGTGGTGATGGCCTAAGAGACCCTCTGTTTGGCCTTGCTGGCTGATTGGTGAGAGAGTTCAGTTCAGCTCTCTTGCTCTTGCCAGCAATGCAAAGAGTGCACAATAAAGTCCTTTCACTATTAAATGGCAAATTCAAAGATAGAGGGGCTGAGAAAGTGCTTAGACAGAATTATTCATTGTTTTTGAATGCCTCATAATATCCAGATCCCAGAATTCGCAGGTTAGATGTGAAAATAGATAGAATGTGTAAAGTAAAAAAATTTAAAAATCATGAGCTACTTGAGTCAAGAAAAGGGAAGACTGTCTGTTATGCATACATGGATATTCCCCAAAGGCCCTCTAAAACATTCATAGCTGCTATGACTTCATAGAGGAAAATACTGCTTTTTCTATTTCAGTAAAAGTGCCACCAGAAAAGAAGTTGTGATAAGGAGGAGAAAACGGGAGAGGGGCTCCACACTGGCACTATTTTCACTGTTGAATGCTTCCCTGCCTTTTAGTGTGTAAATAATAACAGATACTTAGGACAGAAAGCTGGATTCATACTGCTTTGAATTTTGAGTCTCTCCTTCTCCACAGTTATTTTTTTGAGTATCATGTACTCTTACAGAGTCCCATCTTATGATAGTTTGCAGCTGCTCCACAGTACTTAAATCTTGTAAGCATTAATAATACTGAAGCTCATGAGAATTACTAATCATTAAGCCTTGGGAAACTGCAGAGTTATTTCTCTGGAATTTAAATGTGTTCACACCCACCCACTCAGTATGAAGGGTAAATTATTGTGTTGGCTTTGCTGTTGTTTTGTAATAATCTTGTGACATGGCTCCCACATTGCCTAACAGTCCCTGTGACATGACTTCCACATTGCCCTGTGGACTGTACTTGAAGAACTTCCTCTAGAATGAGACTAGACATGCAGATTTTTGTAAAAAGTGAGAGACAAGACTTGCAAATTAAAAAAAAAAAAAAGTCACCTGAGCTGTTTCCTTATTAGGCAAATAGGATTCTAGTTTGGGCTCCCAAAGAAAATTTGTATAGCTTTGTTGAGTCTTTCAATATTTTTACTTCTACTCTAATAAATTTGGAGCTCTGACTCATATTTAATATATGATTTTTCAGGGGTATGGAAAACTATCCTCTGACATGAAATGTGATGTCAGTCTTCTCAATGTAAAAACCACACATTAAGAACTCAAATCCAGGATGGGTGTGGTGCACACCTGTAATCCCAGCACTCGGGAGGCTGAGGCAGGAGGATCACTGTGAGTTCAAGACCAGCCTGGGCTACATAGTAAATTCCAGGTCAGTGTCAACTACACAGTGAGACCCTGTCTCAAAAACAAACAAACAAACAAAAAAAACAAAAAAAGAACTCAAATCCAGGGCTAGGGATGTAGCTCAGCAGCGCCACGCCTACCTGGCAAGCACAAGGTCCTGAGTTTGATCCCTGGTACTGAGAAAAAGATAATGAAAAAAGAAAACAAATCCACATTTAAATTATTTTTTTATAAACAGTGACAGCAAGATTGCACAGGATCAGTGAAGAGACAGGATGGACCTGGTCCACTGCTGTTGTGTCTTGGAGCAAGAGCAGCATTCAGCCTAGAGATGAGCACCTTTCCTTTCAGAGAAGACTTGATAATGGAAAAAAATGTTCTGATTACTTACTCAGCTAAAGACCCGAGGTGTGAGACTCAAATGGCCCCATAGCAATCCTTTTCTCCCGGGCCGTGTGCAGGTCTTTGACAAGTGACAAATGATGTCTGTTTTGTGTGTTTAGGTCTAGGACTGGACTTTGTAACCAGGAATTCGGTGTGTGTGGCTTCACAGGCTGCAAAGAAAGATTAATATATGAGAACATATGTCAAACATGTGGTCTTGTGTGACAGATTGGCCCAAGGCAAAAATCTCTTTAGTGACAATTTGTCAGAATAGCTCTCTGAATTACTAAACTGAATAAGAAGATAGAACCTATAAGCATAAGATTGTCTCCCAAGGCCCTAGTCAGAAACCTGATGTGGAGAATAAGTCTGTAATGCTCATCTAAGAAGTTTTGACCATCTGCATCATGATTTTGGGGTTAGCTTGTGTTTCAGAGAAAGAAGCAGAAACAAGATGCGTGTGTGCCTGTAATCCCAGCTACACAGAAGGAGAGGCTGAAGGATCCAGATTCAAAACCATCTTGGGCAACTTAATGAGACCTTGCCTCAAAATAAAATAAAAGGAGTTGACAATGTAGCTCAGGCTGGAGTGCATGCCTAGCCTGCATCAGACCCGGAGCTCAATCCCCCGTGCTGGGGGCTGGGCTATGTGTTTAGGGTGTTCCTTTTTTCTTTTCAGGAATGAGTATTGAACAACAGCAGTGCTGCACTACATCCTCGTCCCTATTTTACTTATTTTATATTTTATTTTGAGATAGGTCTCACTAAATTGCTCAGGATGACCTCGAACTGGCAATCCTCCTGACTCCCCCCACTCTCAGAGTATTTTTTGTCTATGATTGTTTTCATACAGGACACCTTCTTTGTGAGTAAAGAAAGACCTTCATTCCTGGGATGTACTGAGGAGATGGATTCATTCAAGATAGGCCCATTGCTGTATTTTAACTCCATAATGCAATGTAGTGATGATGACCGGAATTCAACTCACATCTAGGTTAAACCATCCTCCAAGTGAACCATCCTTCAATATCAATCCATGTATCTCTGGAATAATGAGGGGGATAGCCTCCTTGAGCTCATTTGAATTCTCAGCTAGGGGCAATAGTACAAGTGGAAGACAATTTCCTACATCTAAATATTTAATTTTTATAAGTCAAGCTAACAAACTGTCAAGTAAAACAATTCTGTTCCCTACCTTGACAAGGAGACCAGGTCTGAACCTGGAGCTCTCCAATGCTTTGGAGTTTCTTATTAGAATAGGCAGTGTAGGAAAGCTGCAGCCCACTCTCTCTCTCTGCATTTCCAATTCCTTCCATCCTATACTCTGAGGACTGCACATGTGAACTCTCCAGACTTCATGTCCAAGTTATATTCACAAAACTTGCAAACAACCACCTATTGGCCTTCCTTTAGTCCAAGGCTGTCCACTCATGGGAAGACAGCCCAGCTCTCCAAAACCCCAAAATGGGTGAGAAATTCCAGAGTTTCAAGCATCCGGAATATATTGTGTATGAGGTGAGTGTGGGCTCTGGTAAGGAATGCCCACAGATTTCTCGCCCAGTGCAGAGGGCATGACCAGAGGTAAGGGCTGAATCCTCCAAGCTGAGGCCCCGGGGCAGAGGTCTGGCTGCTCCAAAGTCATACTGGTTAGGTTATTGCTGGCCATCCTAATGTAAAGCTGACTCAAGAGTCCTACTGCCTGCTATGCTTACTAAAGGGCTGATGTGTCGTGACTGTGCAGGACCACAGGCTGCTAAGAACATGTCCTATGTGCCCAATACTGACAAAGGTTGGAATGGGAGACAAAACAAGGCTAACTAAAACATACAGGGCCAGAAGCTAGTTTATGGACAATTCTTTTTAGTTATCATGTTTATAAAAGATTTAGTTCTTACTGATACCTAGTAAAAAAAAAATACTCCCTGCTGATAATGCAGCTCTGTAACTGTACCCTTCATTTTGCTTTTTTGACTAGCACCAAACAAAATAAAATTTATCAGAACATATGTGTTTATAGAAAACAAGTTTATCTTTGTATATATTTTTCTTCCTCTTCATTAAATAAATAAGATTTTTTTTTTCCTTTTTGAGGTACTGGACATCGAACGCAGACTTTTGCACTGAACTGTGTTCTCTAGTCCTTTTTAAATTTTTTAAAATTTTGAGACAAGGTCTTGCTTGAACTTGAAGTTCCCCTTCCTCAGTCTCCCAGAGTTCTGAGATTACAGATGTGTAACATCACACCTGGCTGGAATATTTTTATTATGTCTTATTAATTTGATGGAATTACTTGTTTTGTTTTGTTTTTTTGTACAAGAGATTGAACCTAGGTTGCTCAGTAACACTCTACCTTGAGCTACATACCTGCCTTTTCATTTATTTTTATTTTTGAAACAAGGTCTTATAAGGTTTCCAGGTTAGCCTCAAATTTGTGATCCTCCTGCCTCAGCCTATTGAGTGGCTGGGATTACAGGGGTGCCCCAAGGTGCCTACCTACTTCTAACTTTTATTCATGAATATTTTTTAATTAATCTCAAAAGTCTATCCAGAGTTTAATATATGCCTATTCACACACTTGCAGAATACCATACTTTCTATACTATCCCTTGTTTTACTAATAATTTCAATGACATATTTATTGCATTATTACTAGTTAAATAATAAGAACCAATATATTGCCAGGTGTGGTGGTACATACCTATAACCCTAGCACTTGGGAGGCTGAGGCAGAAGGATTGCCATGAGCCTGGGCTACATAGTGAGTGAGTTCAAGGCCAACCTGGGCTATATAGCAAGACCTTGTCTAAAAACACCAACATATTTATTCTCTTTTTATTACTTAATAAATGGATAAATCAATCATAATGAACCATGTCTTTTTTCTTTTTAGGTGCTGGGGGATGAATCCAGGGCCTTGTGTGTGCTTCGAGAATGCTAAGGGCCAGGGATTTAGCTCAGTGGTGCCACCAGCTGCCTCACAAGTGCAAGGTCCTGAGTTTGATCCCTGGTACCAAACAAACATTATTATAACATTAACTACAATATTTTAACTTTCAAGGTGTATTGCTCTGTTAGTTTTATTATATTTTTGACTATTATATTTGGAATGAAAAATGAAGTTATGAGAAAAAGTATGTTTGATCTATATACGAAAGTTTGTAAAAGTTTTATTCATGAAATTAAGAAGCACCTAGCATGTCCATCAATAAGTCAATGGACAAACTGATACATCTATACAACGAAATATTATTCAGAGATAAAAGAAAATGAGCTCCCAATCACAAAAAGACATTCATGAATCTACTTTAATGTACTGCTACTTCAAAGAAGCCAGTATGAAAATACTACATAAATATGATTACAAGTATGTGACATTCTGGAAAAGGTAAAATTACAGAGACAGTGAAAACATCAGTGTTTGTCAAGTGTTTGGGAGGAGAAGAGAGGCTTATATAGGTTTTTATGATGGTAAAGCTATTCTGGATGGTATTCTGGATGGAAAGGAGATTATACATTATTAAGACCCATTGAAATTTACAGCACAGAGAGTGAACCTTAATGTATGAAAAATTTAAAAATTCATTTAAGAAGGAAGGTGTAATACTCAGGATCTGTAAGGAAATAGATTTAATGCAGGACACACAATTTATAGGACTATTTTATAATATTCACCCAAAACGTCTAATGCAGAGGAGCACTAGAGACCTGAAGAACCTAGCCGAGGGGCCTGGATTCCCCATGAGTCAGCTGAAGGCCTAAAGCCTGTGGCAATGTCCTCATGAGACCAGCTGGAGTCCCAGAGCCCACGGCAATGTCTCATGCAAGTCCCTATCAAGGATCTGCACTGGGAGGGCCCAAGGGCCAATAATGGAAGCTAGAAAGCCTGAGCCGGCAGGGTGAAGAGTTTGTGCTACCAGGCTGAGATCTGCACTGGACCAGGAAGCAATACTCGAAGTGAAGACCAGAGCTTCCCTGATGAGAAAAGCAGCCATCTGCAGCAACAGTGAGGACTCAAGCTCCTCTGACAATGAGAACAGCCTAGTTCACTCCAGGAAAACCAGCCATGGCAAGCTTCTCCAGGAAAATCAACAGCTAACAATCTTCCCCTCAAGTCCTCCTTTTATGCCATTGGCAACAATCTTCAGATGGGTCTTTCACACCCAGAACCACGCTGGCTTAGTTCATCTGGGCGTTCCAAGTTGACCACTAGTTAATCCACCACAGAAGGAAGGAACTCAGACTGGGACAAGAGAATCCAATTGGGCTACAAGTGTTCAAAACAATTTCAGTGAAGGAGGTGGGGAAAAACTTCGCAAATGAGTGGCATCTATAAGAGTAAAGGCCATAAGAATTGCACATAGCAATATTAGCTCTAGTTAATGAAATTCTTTTCCAAGGGAGTTTGGGTTATAACTCCCTTTGGGGTATTGATATATGCACACTGAAATTGAACCATAATGTAAAGGAATAGAAGATGGTGAGAGCCAGATTTCTTTCCATTGGTGTGAGAATTTACAGATAAACAAGTGAAGGGGGCTAGAATGATCCATGTGGTGATAGATTACAGTTGCAGACATTATATGAAGTCATGTATAGTTTGACATAGATTCTGATAGTTACGTATAATATATATATATAT